AAAAGGAACATTTGAGTTCTCCCACAAAAAAAGCAGAAATACAGACCATATAATGTCACTATCATAAAAATCACAGTCGAAGAAACACTTTGAAAATGCACAAGTAGATTGTAAAACTGTAAGACATAATTATTCATAACATGAAAACTGATTTATGATTGCATATTTATTTTTTTTATTTTTAAGAAGAAAATTTGATAGTAGGTATTCATGCAAAGGTTATAGCAATTTTAGTTATATATATTTAATTAAGTTTTAAAGCTTGTGATCCTGAACCTAATCTCTCCCTACTGCTGTCTCCTCGTATCTTTTTTTCTCTTTCTCTCTCTCTCTATCTTTCCCATCTTCACTGTGTCAGAATAATTATCAGGACATCTGCTCATCTGGACTGAGAAAGCGTAAACAGTCTTCCAGCAGAATTTCACACTGAGAATACACATCGACATGAGACCGAGGGAACCGGAAAAACAAAACTCCCCAATTTAGTTGCATGTGGAAGGAGCAAGCATGAGTAGCAGTGTGCTGTAACTGCTTGTGTATATGCAGATTACAATTACCACTAAATATTATATTTGCAGTGCAAGTGACCGAACCTTTACTAAACTTCAAAAGTCTAAATGCTTTAGGAATATTAGCAAAATCTTACAGGAAACAAGGACAATATTTTAATTTGAGATGGTTGTAGATTAAATAAAAACATCTAACTGCTCAACAGCAGAGGTCCTATACATTGCTTATGCCGTGTTTGCTTTACCTCAGTTTCCTCCAACCTCTATACATTCTCACCAGCAGTCACAATCAGACCTTCTCTCCCCTTCAGCACCCTGGACAGCACAGCCTCCCCCAACTCCCAGCTACTGTACAGCAACAATTTCATTATATATCAGTTGAAACAACGCTGGGAAGCAATATGCCACATAGCGTAGTTATTGTGACATCACTCTTTCTTTTCATCATTGCGGCCAAATAAGGATGAAGCGATGGCATTTCCTATTTGCACAAAAAAATATGAATTACATTATATTTGAATAAGGTATTGTTGGTCTGTCTTACCTGACACATTCTGCATCTGCATGACAGTGGTCACTTGGATGGACTCAGCAGCGACCACCGTGCCTGGAGTGGTGGTCGTGTCGGCCACAGCTGAAGCCATGGGAGCGGATGTAAAAAACTCTCTGTCAACATCTGCCGCTGCGTCCTCCTCTGTCTGGGTGTCACCGCTGTGCTCCGGCATCCGAGTGGTGGACTCATCAAAAACACTCATTAATGATGTCACATCTTCCGTTGAGGTTCCACTGTCGATCGGGACGGCGGCGGACGTCGCAGGTGCGGGTGTGGTCTTTTCCTTGGAGACGACAGCTGGTGTTTCTGCATCCTGCGTTTGCCGTGTGGTTTGTGTTGTCTCTGGTCGTCCTGTCTGGTGGCTCACCTCTTTGCCGGGTTGGGTGTTAAACATAAAGGTGGTATCCATGGGAACGACTGTTGTTCCATCAATAATACTAGTGCTGTCTGATGGGCTGGATGTGGAGTCCTGTTGGGGTGGCTGAGTAGGAGGAAGTCCCTCTACAGCAAAAGAAGTCTCCATCTCATCCACGTTAAAAACATAATCTGGGAATGGTGTTGTTGAATGAAGCCCAGTGGGTGAGGGTGTCGACAGATCGGTTGATTCTGTTGGAGTGTCGGTGAGGTCAGAGGTCATCGCTGTGGTGATGTCAGCATCAAGAATGGTTTCCTCAGTCTTTCCCTCAGCAAACATGGCCTCTGTGTTGAGAGAGGCCTCTGGTATGGGGACATCAGGTTGGATCGTGCTGATCTCAATCACTGAGTGATCGTCTGGCTCCTCGACGGGCTCAGACACTGATTCTGTGGTATCGGTACTTTCTGTTGTGTGTTGGGGTTCTGATTCTGGTGCCGCTGTTATGTCATCAGTTTCCCCCTCTTCATCTTTGATGGTGGGTGCGACTGTGGTGATTAACTCTTCTTCTTGGCCTGCTGGAGGGGAGCGAGGTGGAGCCATACTGGTAGAGAACATAGATGGGGCATTCGAAGGGACAGGAGAGTCTGGAGATTCAGCTGCCTCTGATACATTTTCCGATGTTGGGCTAAGCGTAGTCGTGCTACTCTCCAGTAAAGGGATGGTGGTGGTTCCTATCACAGACACATCCACGAAGGAAGTCTGGTTGATCACCTCTCTCCTTCCTATAAAACACACATAAGCACATATAACACACACGTACACACTTGAGTCAAATGTCACACAGGCTGTACATGATGTGGAAAACTAATACAGTCTTTATAAAATAGTATATTTTTATTCCGCAAGTATGTGACAAACCCTATGAGTCAAATAGCAGTCAAGGAGCAATACGCCACCGCTACAATAACAGTCTGACACTTAACATTAAAGTACCCAGAGTTAAAAGTTCCTTCCTCTCTTAACTCTTCATGTTGTTTATAACTAGCACTAATATTAATTCATGCACTGTTTTCAAAGACACAGTGGAACCAATGTTACTTAAACTTACAGAGCAAAGTTTTAATGTGTATTAGAGTGGTTGGCAAATAACCTCAATTACCTTAAGGTGCTAGTATTATTATCCTTTCCTTTGCTTGATTAAATTGGATTGTCTGTCGTTGACACAGACAGGGTGGTTTTCTGTGAAAAACCAAGAGCGCTTTGAATGTTTCTCTCATCATTTCCTGATCTGCCTGAAACGATTCACATAACTGTAACAGAGGAATTAAACAGCATATAAACTGTAAGGAATCTAGTGTTGTGGTTTTATTGAAGCTGCCCTGACTATTTTTATCCTCTGTGCACTAGTTCTCCTCCAACGGTTCGTCTGAATGTTTACATGTATTTTTTGTGCCATCATTGAAGTCCCATCATCTCTCTGTGCTTGTTCTCAAATGCTCTATAATGAACCTGTCTACTTATTCTTAAGGTTTTACTGAGTTGATTCCTATATGTCTCTCTTGAACGTGCCTCTTCCTCCCTGCCCCCCTGTTCTCTAATGCTCCCTCATTTACACACACACCCATAAAAAGCGGTGTGACAGCTTTAGAAAGCTTTCCTCGGTGGCGCAGACAGATTGTGTAAAGCCAGCTGTTGGCCATTACGTACTAGCCCTCTTTCTTCAAGGAACTATCAATGATGTAAGGTGTGACACACGTTTTTCCCTAGCAGGAAAAAAAAGGGCCTACTCTAAGAGAGAGTGCATTATCTCACCGATGCGTTTGAGCTGTTGCTGTTATGGAGGCCTTTGTTTTCCTCTGGGCCAATCCAGAGACCAATCAGAGGCCAATTATCCCCATTTTCCCTTTGCACCTACCTCTTTTCTCCCCGTCTTACTGTGTAGTTTAACTGACATAGGTTTACATAATAAATTCTTTTTGGAGATATTATTGGGAGTCGGAACGCAGGAAAAATGATGGAGTGAGTCCCACCAAACAAGGGTACTTGAAAAGCACTTAGAGGGGGGCGTAAATACAACATGACTGAGAGAGCTGACATGGAATACACAGAGCAGGAGGTGAGGGTGGCCTGTTTGTGTGCCCTCTGAACTCCATGGGGACTTATCACTGCGAGAGTTAGCAAGGCTCAGGGGCAGTAAATGGCCAGGCAGGGGACGGCTTATCTTTCCAACCTCTCATTTGTAAAGATGGAAAGGCCAGGTCAGAGGTCACCGAGGATGACTGAATTTAGAAGTCCAGCAGTAGCTTTGTCCATTATCCAAATGTCTGCTCTGATAAGTACAAGTGAGAATGACGGAGGGCAAACTCTGACAGCGGAAATGAGAGGAGAAAGGTGAAAAGGGAGTTAGATAGTGAGTCTAAAAAGTCTGACAAGTGTGGTATTAGTTACCTTTGCTGCTTCTCTAAATGGCGACTATCATCTGTCATTTGGCTTTGCCCTGGGGATACTGATTAGTTAAGAACACTTCACATTTTGAGGGATCAGCCTAATTCTGCTAACTTCCAGTGAACCATAAAGTGTCACTATTTATAGAGATCCATAGCTATATTCTCCTTTCTTCCCATGGTCAGAAATCACCACTTTGTCATTTGCATGCATAACTAAGTGTATCCTACATGCTAGTCCTAAGGAAGTGAAAAATTAAAAGTTTACAGAAGTGATAAATTAATGACTTTCTACATCCCCAACACCTTGGCTACTCAGGTTTCTTTGGATTATTATGATTGGAATTATAATTAATTTGGTTTATGGTTTAATTTTCTGAATATTACTCAATTATTGTTTTAGTTTGTTTCACATCGGCAGTGAGGTTGAATAAGGATAAAGTTTAAGAGGCCTCGATTAGCCCAGCTGGAAGTAATAAAGATAAAACAACACAGACAGATGCTGACTGTTCACAAACTCAATTGGTCATTATTCTCCCCATTACAATAAGAACTGGCCTGTCCATTGCTTTGAAAGTAAACAGAGCTTACCGGTATGATTTTACCCTCCTCTTGGCTAATTTTGTTGCCACAGAAATGGGCGGGAAACTAAAATGTGAGACACTGAGGTCAACTGGACACTGCAATCTGTGAGACTAGTCTGGCACATAGCACGCAATGCTCATGAGAAAATCATTCTTCTGCTTTGCTCCGGTTGTTGTTGTTGTCATTGAAATTATACACATACAGCATGAAACAGAAAGACAGAGTGAATAGAACAATGGACAACAGATGAGATGGGTTGTAAACATTTTAAAATCTTGGTCTGGTTTAGATGTTGGAAAGTGCACAGTGGTGCAAAGAGGCAGAAAATCAAAGGGTGGAGGAGCAGAAGTGAATACATACAGGAGATGAGATCATAGCTCCTTACAATCCAGGCCTGGTTTGACAGGGAATGGTGTGTGCTTTCAAATACTGTCTGTCTTTTATAAACCAAAATGTAAACATATACACCGCACGACCGACCGTATGCAGGCAACACTTTCTTCCGTGACACACTGTAAATCTACTAAATAGTATCAACAAGACCCTGGGTTTACCTTTAAAACAGTAAGCCCCAAGCTTCTTAGTTGGTTCTGGGAAGCCAGTCTGGTTCCTGTAGCGATACATGGTCCTGACGCCGAGAAGACCTCCCCCACACTGCAATTTGGGTACTGCAACAGGATGTCGTACACTGCCATCGGAGAGCCAGCCATAGTCGCATCTGTCCAGGCCTTGTCGCCAGGCAGCATGGAGCTGGCCAGGGGTTGCCAAAACCGCATTCGTCTTCTTGCACTCTTCACGGGCCTCCTCAAGAGTCATCTTACGGCTAACAGGAGCATAGTACACTTCACCTGAAACAAAGAAAGCAAAACGCAATACAGTCTGAATGCAGAACCAAAAATGACAACAGATCGTCAGTGATCACAGCAAACCAAAATTGATTACAGTAAGAACCAGTGACTCAGGGCAGAGGGTTTAATTCACTGTTCAACCAATCCAATAAATTTTGGATTGAATCAGTGCTGTATCACTAACAGATGGACAGCCATTTAATTTTAAATCATTTGAAATGAAAACCCTACTAAAAAGCCTATTATCTGGAGTAATCACTAACCGCAGATTTTTAGACCATTTTGACCTTTCAGAAGAGTCATAACCCAAAAACAGCTGACAAAAGTCACAGCTGTGCAGGGCACGGACCCAAAACATCTCCCACCGATCATATTTAGGACAACAGTAGTTCATTCATTATATTAATCTGAGGTGGGATAGCAATGCAGACAATGTGCCTGGCCTGTCAATGAACGTGTCTGTGCTTCAGGACATTAGGTTTCCCATCGGGGGTGAGTGAACAAGATTACACCCTCTATTTTTCCTTCCTTCATGTTGTTCATGTCAGGATCCTACCTTCAGAATGGTCACTGCACTAGGACAATTATAAATATTTGTCTTTGCCAACAGGAATAAACGAAAGACTACAGACAGGCAAGCTCTCAACTGAAAACCAAACAACAATACGAGAGAGGATGACTGACTGAGTTTATGTTTTCAGTTAGTCTTGGGCGTAGCTTTTCAAATGTCAGTGTCCCATTGATTTACAATGGCATTGAGATTAGGAGATGTTTCTCACCCAGAAATGTACTCCCTCTTAAAAGCAGACATGGTTCAGTGATCTTAGTGGACATTTTCTGTCCATTAAACTTTATATTGATGACTACCAGTAAGCTATCAGTAGCCTCACGTTTTATATGAGACAAAACTATTTTTTTTTTTTTATCATTTCTCAACAGAAAAGAGGAGAAAACTGATATGACATCAATCAAATTAAGGAATATCCAAGGCACTGTGGTGAACCAGCAGTCCGAAACACATGACACACAATGTCCCAAGGAAATGTCTACGATGCTCCTTTCTATCACCAATTAATACTTGATTAATAATTAATAATGATCCAAGAGCCAGTAAATCAAAGCAATTACCTCTTTAGTTGAGAATTGTGCATGACACACAGTTAATAGTTAATAACAACACACTTACTCGTCATGTGTAACAGGCCCAGAATACAGAATAAAGTGAGGTCAAAGATGGATATAGAATTTCTTGGAGAGACTGAAGAGCTAAGTGAAAGATGTATGTGTATGTCCCTGGTGGATGTGGGACGGGGTGACGGTCCCTGGCTGCTCATAGCACTAATAATACAGATGTCACAATACTGACTGATGGCCGCATATTCACACACAATTGGTTTGTATTATGTTCTGTAGCAGCTGCACTGTCCACATCCCAAAGAAGAGGAGCAACTACAGAGAGGGCTGGTTGTAGTTTAGATGTGTCAAGGGGGAGGTTAAAATCTCTGACTTGAGTCCATCAGCCGCAACAGACTGGATAATGAACAGACAGAAAAAGACTTTTGGCTGAGAAGTGAAGACTTCCCACAAGCAATACCAAAGACACTTTAAACCCCCATTATCACATTTTTGTTGCTGACCGCAATGGTGGAGAATCAATTTCAATTTCTACTTCTGAGAGAGAGACTATTAAGAGCTTCTCTCTAACCCTAACTACCTTTCTACAACACGTGGGACTGTTTGGCACAACAAAATATATAAAAGGTAACACATTGTCGCCAATAATATTTTCAAACAAAATAACGAAGGCTATTTCCACAGTAGTTTTATAAGCTGTAAAAGTAATTTGCTTTGGCACTGTGATAATCTGGACGTTTCGTCATTTTAACCAAAGGGTGTGTCAGTGCTTCTAAACAACAACTCATTGCTTAGAACTAGAAAAGCCAAATTTTGAAGCTGACTTACCATTAAGTTTATCTACGTAACAGTATACATCATAGGTCTCTGTTGGTTTCCTGGTTCCATATGACCTAATGCCAGGTTTAGTCTGTAGGTTGCCATAGCAGCCATTCCTTGGCTTTGTAATTGGGTACCTATGCAGAAAGAGGAAGGAAGAGCCTTAATAACACATAAGTCAAAGCATCTCTGCGCCAAAATATTTAACATCACATCAGAACACAAACAAACATATGTGACTGAAAAGCAGTGTTGTTTAATATACATGACTTTCGAAAGAGAATTAAAATGCAGCTAACCTCACTGTCTGGTCAGCAATCCAGCCGGCATCACATTGGTCAAAGCCATCCTCATAGGCTGCTTTCAGTTGGTCGTATGTAGCAATGGTGGCTCCAATATTTTGGCAGGTTCTGACAGCGTTCTGGTAGTCCAGTGTGTACCTGTTGGTGCTTGCCCGGTAGTGAAAGACAACACCTGCCAACAAATAGTAACAAAAGAAAAAGACCATCCAGAAATGAAACATAATGAGGATTTGTATACAAACATTAACACAGTGATCTGGAATTGATCAGCGTAATTTCAGTGCCATAAATTATGGCAAACGTCTTTTAAGCACACACCATGAGTGAAATAATTGTCTCTCAGCTTGTTTGGAAAGGAGGAACTTTGCAATAAACCAAAAGGATGAGCAAAATACGACACAGTTCACCACAAATGAACAAGATAACTGCTGATGATGCCATGGCCCTGAAATCCCCATATTTGTGGACAGTAAACAGACACACAAGAATGATTGATAGTCCTAATTAACATTGCAGATAGTTGGAAAAGAGGTTGTGAAGATTGTTAACCAGTGGAAATCCAGACTATCCCAGTGTCCCCCCCACTCCACCCATGTTTTCTGCATGCCCAAAACATGAGTTGTTATTTCCCAGAATTCTTCTCAAATGAGGAAATGTAGAATACACATAATGACACTAGGTAAGGACTGGTGAGCCCCTCTAAGGATACTACAACATTTGACTTGGTGGAACTGCAATGATGTTGCATTATCGTATACATAATTTAAACCTTGTGTAAAGTTAATGATGGATACTGTGGAATCCTGTCTTTGCTCAGCGAAGGCAAAGTAAAAAAAAGACTCGGTAACACCCACTGAGTGCCCCACCAAAGAGAAAAATCTCCACTGACAAGGTGGCACCCAAGATGACGAGGGCAAATGAGGTTATGTAGCTTTTGCTGTGCCCATACCAACATCTGGAATGTCACCCACATTTGGGCTCTAATGGCTGATTGGGATACACAGATGAACAGTGGAATTAAAATACTGCAGTACTTGGTATGGACAGGGACCCAAAGTCTCGTCTGATTTGCGTCTAAAATAAGAACAACTGAAAACTGTGGTTACTCTGTGTAACTACTGGGTCGCTGCTGCTATCAAAGTAAGCAAAAGGCGCCCATAGTTCTCTCATACGTTTACATTTCTATCACCACTTGCATTGCATTTCACTATTATTAAGCCCGTGCAGCAACCCCCTTCTACATTCAGAGAGGATCTTGGGGAAGTTATTTTAGAGTCTTTTGTCTGATTCCAGCATGATGCAGGAAGGAAATCATTAATGTCTTACCGTTGACATTTAGGTTAACTGTATCCTGGGTGTCTTCAATGCCATACATAACCTCACAGCGATACGTGCCCGCATCACTGGCACGCAGCTTGACCATCGTCAGTGAGGCGTCACCGACATCCTCAGGGTGACTGGGCACTGACACACGGTTCCTGTAGCTGGAACCTATCTTGATGACCCCATTTTGTGCCACCAGCACTGTGGATTCTACATTTCCCTCTATTTTGGTCCATTTGATCCGCAAGTAATCTCTGCTATACATGGCTGTTCCATTGGGACTGATGACAGGTGCTGAGGTCGGGATGGTGGAGAAGAAGCAGGGAAGATTTACCTTCCCTGAGAGGGACCCAGTGACTGGTCTGATTATCGATAACGTGTTGGAGGCTGAAAGGCAAAACACAGAAGGGTTAAATGCAGCTTCAGTTCATATTCATCCATTCACAACTGTATTTTTATGCTGTTCTTCATCTATTATTCATTTTATTTCTTGTCATACAAATACAAATATAAATATCTTCTGTTTACTCTCGCCCCAGCAGATGCAAGTAGACCCTATAAACAGCCAGACGCATTTACATTGACAGGGTGTGACAACTACACCCAGCCCTAATAAAGAAAACATGCATCATGGCCTGAAAATGGCTCTTGGAAAGTCAAACCTCATCCTTAAAATGATGGGTGTGGGAACACATTTAACTCTGACTGTAGTGTGAGCGCAGCATGTTCCTTAAAAGTTAAAAGTTAAAGATAATTGGTTAAACAGGGGAGTCACGGTTGCATCACTCCATGTTATGCCACTGCTGAGTTCTGCGCATGTGAGTTTTCCTTCTCAAATAATCTCTCCTTCACCTGCAGGAGGACTAACTGATGATGGCAGGTAGACCCACACAAAACAAAGTCAGCATGCCACACACTGGGCAATATTATGTGTCTCACCTCTCATGACCTGCTACTCTATTCTCAGCTGAAAACTTACTACTGATGTTACACACCTATGTTGCAGTACAGGGTAAGAATAGTTAAATTCATCCTACAGTCCTTCATCTTCCAGACCAGACAATGGTAACTGTTACTATGATTAATCCACCTCCCTTCCCCTTGAGCTCCATCCACATTTAAATCTGGTGACTGTATCTCAGTCTCACTCCACTTCTATCTGAAGCATGTGAGGTGTTAGACAGAATGCCAGACACAAATGAATGGTAACAGGCTGAATCACACTTGGCCCTGTGGAGAGGGAAAAGATTTACCTTTATTTTTTTTTTCTTTTTCTGGAAGGGGTAAGAGGAAGGGGGGTGGGGGTGGGGATATTCACAGGGAACAATGTGGGGAATGCTCTGGAAACAGTGGTGGGACAGCCCCAGAGGCATGAGTGTGTGCTTTAACAGGGGGGCTTATTAGGATGTGGGGTGAAACCAGCTGTTTTTTCCAGACTGGGAGCAGAGTCTAATTGAAAGGTGTCCATACCCAGAGATGGGTATGGGTGCGAACACCAGCTGAATGTGAACATGTCAAATGACTTTACGTTCAGTGAAACACACAGAGGTGGAAAGAGGGTGTGAGGGGTCGGGAGAGAGGGAGGAAGATAAAGAAAAGAAGAGAGAGAAGGGGAGGGAGATGGACAGTAAGAGGGTGGGAGAGAGGAGCAGCTGGGAAAGAGAAAGAAGGAGAGGTAGAGGGAGAAGCATTTACTCAGTCAAGACTTACCTGTCGCAGTTGCAGCTTCACAGAGACAAAATAACCACAGGATATGCTTTACATTTAGTATCATCTGTTGGAGAAATCAAAAAGGTGAATTAGGAAACAACTCATACAAGACTTTATATTTCATGGTGTGTCTATTACTTTTTTTTTTAGTGCATTTTTTTGCAAGTTTGTTGAGTTATAATTGATATGTCTGCTTAAGATCTTTTCTGTCTCAGTGGTGCAAACAACTACGTAGGCCCTAATTCCTCATCCAAATATCACAGGCTAATGATTTCAGGAAATTTTGTGGGTGGCGGGGCTGAGAGGTAAAACGTCCTGTGGGGTCGAGCTGCTGAGTTTTTGGAGACAGGAGCATCGGGCCCCTCCTGTCCTCACTTGCACCCCACTGTATAAACACAAGTGGTGGGTCACAGTGGGAGCTTGAAACTGGTATTCTCCATTTAAATAAATAAATAAATAAAAAAACGAGACACTCACTGTGTAAGGGCAGTTTGCTACGATAAAGGATCAACATCTAAAATATTTCAGGGTGGGTATCGTCTGTGACTGTGACTTAATGCCAGGACGCTGACACAAGTGTATCCCGAGTTAACGGACCCACCCTCATGGAAACTAAATGAAATAAGACTTTGGGGAAACAATAAGAGCACGAAATCTAGGTCTAATAGATTTCACATCTCCGACTGCGTACTTGTTTTGCATTTACGTAAAGTGAGTGATGTGAGTAAACTACAGGCAGTTGCAGAAGGTTTTCTAGGAAATCGGAAAAAAAGAAAAAAAAAGTCATTCAAAGAAAGCTCGGCACTGAAGCATCACACAGGCGTATAATTGGTTACAGATTTTTGGAGCCAGTGGTCCTTTATGCGCAGCTCGGAGATGCTCCCTGCTATGAAACATAAATATCTGCTACTGGTATTTAAAATACTTCTACTGTCATCCCATGAGGAATTAACTGAAACTTTGACTTTTGGTTTGGTGCTTCTATGACTTTTTTTTTCTTTTTTTCCTCCTGGAAACACCTGTTGCTTGTGCTTGTGGATACTCAGCAGAAATCATGACAGGATAACATACTACTGATTATTTCAATTTCCACTTATTAGATGTGAAACAAATGTGGAGTAATCTCCAGTCCGCTGTGCTGATTTTCGAAATTCACTTGCGCTCAGTCAGTAGCGGGACACGCCAGTGTAGGTTGTTTAAGGACAACCCGGCATCACTGGGTGCGTTATTGTTAAATCATTTGTAGACTGAGAAGTCAATTAAAATAGACTGTTTAGTTTTTTTTGTCAAAAAATTTGCTCGATATTATAATAAAGTTTTACACACTGAGCAAACAATACAAACTGTTGCATTTGCATCAAGTGAAATCGTCTCATTTTACATTTCAATTCAAAGACAAATAACAGGCTATACTTACGTTTAAAGGTGTTTTATTCCATAAAATGTACATATATCGATATATGCCCTTAAATCCAGTAAGTCCCAGTGCGTATCATGCGTGCGTAAAAAGTGCCCAAATACGTCCACTCCAAACCGGCGCAACAGCACTTATCTCCCCGGTGCGCCTGTCTCTTCTCCTTGATGCTCCAGAGTGGCAGGGTCCCACTCCTGGATGATCCTGGTTCTGTACAGAGCGACAGAAACAGTGAAGTGCTGGCAAGCAACAAGTTCAAATTTGCCTAACGCACACTGTTATTTCGTCAGTGTTAGAGAGGAGGGGCAGAGTGCCCATCTGAAAAGTGAATGAGACACCTTGAAGAGGAGGGAAAAAACTTAATTTGGCCCTGTGCCTGAGAGGTACATCCTCATCCAATCAGACTCTTCCGACATTTCGTGAATCTTTTTTTTTTTTTTTTTTTTGCAGGAACATATCTTATCGTTTTTAGATCGAGTCTATTTTCACTACCCCAAATTAGATGTTTTCTTAATTAGTATAAAAGTAATCAAATGTAAAATAAATTATACGAGATGTAAAACTTTATTATAAGTGTGTCACGCTTATATTTCTTGTTGTATAAGCAGTGGATATAATCATCTACCTCTGATGATAAAGTCTCATATTGATGCCATGTGAAGAGCGCAACAGTCATATCCAAGGGTGCGCGATGGAAACAGGGTGGTGCAGACATGTCTCTGGTGGAACCTGAGTCACAATCTACAGTTTGTTTAAACAACACTTTTCTGTCAATATAGCGACGGAGTTCTTCTTCTCATTCATCCAACTGAATCACTTGAGGCACTTCATGTAGTCTCGCAAAAAAATAGCCCCAATCAAGTGAGGATAAGTTCAGACACAGATTTTAACTGTAGTGCCTTTTGTGTTTATATTTATACAGAGTACAGGGGAAACTTAGTGTTCGTCTACAGAAATAGATCATCTCAAGTGGAAATGGGTTATCTGTGATTAACATGACTGAAGTGGCCGGGAGTCAGCGAACAGTAGTTAACTGAAACCTCTGTGCTTGGCTTTTCCACAGGGGGGAGAGGCTGGACCACAGTTTATCAACTCTTGCCTAATGATCACCGTGATTGGGTACTGCTAGATAGGTAAGTAATCTGTTGTCTGAAAGAGATTATAACTCCCAGACGTGTGGGATAAGACACAACTGCCTTTTCCAGTTAGTCTTAACAGAGGAGCAAATCCTTTGAAAAGTGTCAGTGTGAAGATAAAGTCTATATTCCCAGTGCCCCAGCCCCCATCCCTCCCCACCTCAGAAAAAAAAAAGAAAAGAAAAAAAATTCTTCTCTGTGTTGCCTACAACCAGAATGGAGCTTAGTGTGAATATGCTCATTTTTAAATATATATATTGTTTTTTTTTATGCACCTATTGTGCATATTTATTCTGAGCAACCCTGGGATAACATCTTGTTCCATGATGAACTGCATTGTAATTAATTTCCTTTCACAATCAAGGTTCTGCATAAGGAGTCCTCTTTAACCTGATGAAGCTTTAGTAACCTCAAAGGAAAACTCTATATCTAGTGATCTCTGTAAGTTTTTTAAAAATGAAAGACTTTCAAGCAAGAGATCTGCACAATTTTCCTAGAAATTTTCTTTTAAATTAAACAGTACAGTGATTTTATTAAGACTGAACAGCAAATGCAGCTTGCATTGGTTTCATGTTAATAGTGTTTCCTTAACAGCAGCCTCTGAAAGACATATGGGCTTCTGCATGTGAATCAAAACTGAAGGGTAGGTCTGGTTGCTGACTCTGTTGGGGCGGTCTAATTGTTCAAAATCATGGTGTTGTCTGAGCCAGCAGAGAGACAGAGCAGAGGTGATAAGCCTCTGACAGAGAAGACTGCCCCTTAAAGCCTGAGGGCCCTTGTAAAAAGTCATAGGTGCCGTTTCCATACCTGCGTGCATTGTAATCATCTCAGGTCTCAGCAACAGTTACCCACAGTACATCTTTCCTCTGCAAGGCTGGACTGGTCTGGACAGCCGGACTCTGAGAACGAGAGGAGGCGAGGAAGAAAAGGAAGGAGGAATTTTAACCTATCTCATGTGCACAACCTGCCACTTAATACACTATTAAATCTCTAAGAGACAATTAACTAAATAAACTAAATCAGAAAATGAAAAACAGGTTTTCAACACTAACGGTTTGAGACTTGTTTGAACTCTGATCCTGCAGAGGAAACACAGACAGATTGCATTCTGATGATACACCTCCTGGAAACAGGTTTCATAACTGGACACAGAACTCAAACTGATCTGATCCTGGGTGGAATTTGCCACCTGACCCCAGCATAATTAACCACTACTCCGTTTTAGAGTTACAGGAATCATTTAATCATTTTACTGCTTTGCCTTCTTAACTGAGTCATCGTTAAGTCGAAAGTTGCAAGTCATTTACTGCCATGTAAAATGTCTCTACTGTATGTGTAACCATGGAAGTCCTGTTGCCTTTCAGCACCCATAAATCAATGGGTCAAAAAGCCAATCAAAGAGTGTTTGATCCTGGTGATCCGCTGTGCAGGCCCCAAGATGACCCAGATATCACATGACCTATAAAGGTGGTCTACCTCCGGCCCCATGCCACCTCAGACAGCATAAAAGGGGCGTTAAAATCCCCAAGGGATCTGTCCTAATAAAACTCCCAATTTTGAAGACCAAAGCTGCTCTGATTTGAATGTGTTTTATCGATTACATCAGGATTTTTGTGTGGGTCTGTAAACGGAAAACATCTGACGTCTACGAGCACAAGTGGAGCAAAGAAAATCTGGAATCACTGTGAAGTCACCTGATGTGTTTGACAGTGTGTTTGCTCCTGTATAAATAAACTAAATGAAAACATCCAACAACTGGCACACATCGAGAGTACAAAATTACTCTTCTGAGCATTGCTTAAAAAAAAAAAAAAAAAAAAAAAAATGTATGAATAATGGTGTGAAACAAAATGTACAATTTAAGTGTCAAACAAAAGCCAACCCTGTGAAACACAGAGAGAGAAAAAACAGCTTGATGTGATTTCCCAAAGTACGGGGAAACAAGCGTGTGGTGTGTGTGTGTCTTGTGTGTTTGTGAGTGAACCCCCTGTTTAGAGCAGAAAATGTGGGAAAATGAACCTTCATGCCTCTGGGTAGACATGAACCTTGATCCTTTGGAGCCAAGTATGGAGGCCCAGACCACCAAAGCTGATCCCCTATGCTTTAGTGGGAGGCCAAGAGAGGTAAGTGGCAGCACAGGAACTCATTTTGATCATGTTTCCTCAGAGATAATCAGGTAATGTATGTTTAGATTGCTTTTGTTTCAAACCATGTTAAGTGAAATTGTCTGAGGCGAATTTAATGCAAGGGAAGCGTATTAACGAGGTAGTTGTGCACAAAGGCTCGAGCCTAACTGATACTGGACTTTACACAGATAATAATATATTGCCTGACACATTTCTGACATTGAGTCCTCAAATGTGGATATTATTGTGACAAACATACACACAAATACTACAAAAAGACTTTGAACATTAAACTAGAATTAGATTAGTGTAAAAAAAAAGGGTCAAAATCATAATTGCAATAATTGATTTTTCTATTTTTCTATTGCAATTTCCACATATAAATGCCAATATAGACACCAATATAAATATATCTGTAATAAATCATATTGGCATGTTATTATATCACTCAGTTGCTATTGTCCTTGTGGTCTGTGAAATGGTGTATACAATTCTGCCATGTATATTCCAGAGGAAGACTTTGCTAGTTAAATCTTACATGTTTTAGATGAAGTATTTTAAACTTGGTTATCTTACAGAAAACTATAAACTATGTTTTCATAGAAAACGCAACCAGACAGCAACAGCAGAATGCCACTGTTCTTCCCAGCCAATAAACACCCCCTCGTTTCGACGACTTCCGAACAACATAAAAATAAATGAAAGGAAAAACGAAAGAAGAAAAAAAAAAAAAAAAGAAAGGGAAAAAACTGCACACTGCCATTGTGAGCACAACTGCACAAGTGCCACAACTGTCTGGAGTCTGCGATACCAGGTGCCAATCCACAGGCAGGTGTCAGCCATGGCGGTGACAGCTGGTGGACTGTCAGTAGGTCACTGGGGTATTACAGAGATACACGTAGGCTTATGAGAAGTGTCTCTATCATTCTCTCCAAGTCAATTCAATATGCACAGGTAAGCACAGGTAAGTGCAAGAGATATGTTTTTTATGTAAATCATTACCTGCGAAGTGACTGTGTTGTGTTGAGGCCTGTCTATGATCCAAAACACAACACGTAAACACATTTTTTTCTGTGGAACTGAGGAAAAATGTTCACATTGATTACAAAATTTCAGATTGTGATTCAACCACCCAACCCAAACCTTAGCATTTTCCACCTTCTAGCAAACTACTTAAATCTGAAAGGATGGGAAAGAAACAAAGACAGAGGAAGTGAGCAAAAGAGAGAGAGAGGGGGAACAGAGAAAATGGTTTGATAACCAAGCACAGACCATATGTTGTAGACCTGTGCAAATTCCAGTTAACAAAATGCAGCATTGTGGGTACCATTTCATTCTGTTAACTCATCCCCCCTGCTGTAATCAGCCGATACATGACCTCTGGGGAGTTGGAATTACAATATTTCAAAATAAATTCGAGTAAATGTCATATTTGACAACTTAGGTATTTAAAAATGTGTGATCTATGACATTTGCGCAGACTATGTGGAAATGCATTGACTCCCTATGGTAAAATTCCCAGAGGAGTCATGCCTCTCACTGTACTTCAACCACAGAAGAAATGGGTGTGTGAGACAGTCAGTTATTAAGCCAGGCAGCAATTAGGCCTACACGAGAGAAGGCAATGTGGACAGCTTGTCGATCCTTTGGTCTCTGACCAAGAGGAAGTCAAGATAATAACATAATGCGTTCCCAGCCATGACACGAAATCAAGCCAACTGTAGAAAGTCATTTTGGTTTCTTTGGTTCCAATTACAATTTTAAAAGGACCTTTTGGTAAAACTGCAATAAAATCCATCTTGGTCATCAATTAAAATGCTTGTGTGTCATACACGACATCTCAAATTGCTTAGTGGTTACTGTACGTTACTGTACATTTCAAAGTTGCACCCTGCTATGCACAAACATGAAAAAACTATATGATGGCCGCACAAGCTAAAAAACTTGCAAACATCCCAACAAGCAAAAATGTGTCAGATCTCTACCTCCTCATACTAAAACAGTCATGAAATACTGTAGGTATATATATATATATATATATATATATATATATATACACACACATACATATTATTCATACATATTTATATACCATCTTTCTTAAAAAGGTTACAAACTGCTTCACAATGTGAAAAAAAAGAGAAAGTCTCCCTCGAGCGCACACTGCAGCAGGTTGTCATTATCACACACTTAATCTTCAACTACCATCCTCTTAAAACCTGCAGAACATTTGGTTTAATTCAAATAATGAGGCCAATCAGTTCACACCAGCATCTCAAAGAGAAACCACTCGTTATTTGTGATGATCAAAAGGCTCTTTTACTGACTGGGTTGAAACAAAACACATACTCTTTGCCACTGGCAAAACGTGTAGACCAGTGCAGAAAAGCCTCCATGACTGGAAGACGAGTCAGCACGAAATGTGGAGTGGAGATTTTTAACCGGTTCAGCCACCGAGCAGAGCAGCCACAAAAGTTTCATCTGCGATGTGCAGTGCATGGCTGCCATATATGTGGCTGTTATGGTATAGCTATACATAGGCAATGATATCTCTGAGGGCAACAGATGTATGATTGCACTTAACACTGTATCGTTTATGGATATTCAGCATCTGGATAGTGGTCATGTATGATGACTACTGTGGTCTTTTTGCGATACTAGAAGGACTGTGCTTGGAGTCATATCTACTGTATGTATGGATATATACAGTACACAAAGAGAAGAGGCTTACACATTCAGTTCAAAGTCATCAGGCAGGAAGGCACACTGCTGGTTTTGTATTTCCCTGAAATATATTCCCTCAGTTTCAAACAGCCTGCCCACTGCTTTACTTCCTTATGTGTACCACCCCCAGCAGAAACAACGGTACTGCCCACTGTGAGCGAAAGCAGCAACGGGTAATGGAGTCTGACACAAGTGGCCCAATAAAACCAATTGCATATTTGAGTTTGAAAACACATGTGTATAAAAGTTGTTTATTGCTCTACTGCTCATACGTCAGTGCAATTTAACGGAATCACAAAATGTGGTTGATTCACAGTGTAATACACAAAAACGGAAGCAGACACCAGTTGGCCCAGTATGTTTTAAGGGTGAGTTAAGTGTCAGCATTACTCAATATGGAGTATGTGATGATAGGATTCAGCAAAATAAATTTGTCATCTTCAGTTTTCAAACAGCACTTGTGTCAGGCCAAGTTGTTTCAGACATTACAGTGTAAGGCGGTGAGCAGTGAGAGCACAGCACAGCCCAACAACTGACAAAGACCACTCTGTCTCACTGCAGCGCTGTGCAGCGGGAAAGCAGGAAGGCTCCTGTCATTTCCCTGGATGATGGGAATCCTACAGGTGCACGCAGTAAGTGAATGACGATGATAAGCGAATGACTAAATGTTTAATTTCGGGCCGGCGCAGCCATCATCGCTCTCTCACAAACAGTGTTGACCCTTTCTGCTGCATGAGCTGGTGTATAGAGCCTATTGATCTAAGACTGCCCTTGCCAGAAGGCCATGAGGTTGTCGCTTCATGGTTTTGTTCCAAAATCCTTCCAAATGCGAAGCTGTGGTCGATACACTGGGTTTATGGATGAATTTTCCTTTAGTTATGGTGTTTACCACTGTCGCTTCAACATTTCCTTGTTGCTGTAAATCCATGCAGGTTAGTGCTCTGAAATCTAATGCGCTCAAATTATAAAGACATATTCCAGATACAGCAGTCCACCGTGTACCACGTTGCCAGGTATCATATTTCAATTTTCTCAAATAGCTCATGCAATATCATCCAGGCGTTGTTTTCTTGACAAACAGGTATACCTTTATCTTCTTTGTTTTCATGTCAGTAAACTAATTCATAGTATGAAAAGCTTCAAATATTATATTCTCAATAGAAAGGCAGTCTGACAACTTCATCTGAATACTTAAGTTTTTACAAAACCTCCTGGTGTTGATTTACAAACTCAAAAATGTGCAATTCAACAATTTGCTATAAAATCCTTCCGTACCTCCCATTGATGTCTTGCACTGACCCTGCAACACAGAAACATGTCAAATGTAAAATCAACAGCACATCACAGCTTTCAGGTAAATTTATCTGATTAATCTAATTTGCAGAAAGACAGTCCTCATCGCTGTTAAGTTATTTGCATCTTGGACAGTGAAATATGATTTAGAAAATGCCAGAAGGCAAAAACATTGCAATGTAAAATGTTTATTTAAGTCAGGCTGACAATAAGATGCCTTATCTCCACAGAGATTTGAAAAATATTTACAATATTTCACATTATAATTAAAATATTACCATCTCAAACATGTATTTTTATATACATACATTTCCAGGAAACATTTGTTATATTTAAAATCAAATGAAAAATATTTATTCTTGCATCAACATGTTGAAAACATTTACAATGTCTTTAAAATAGACAAAAGCAATCTTCAGGGTTTATTCAAAATAAGGAAACAACATCCATTTCCTTATTTTAATGTTGTATTTTAGAATAATCTGCATTAACATGCTATCAGGATTATTTTCTGAATGAAACTATTGACTGAAATATTCAGCGTAGTCTCCAGATCACGTTGTCATGCACTCATCTGTAAATTATCCCCAATACCCGATCTGGACTTCCCTGTATAAAAAGCCTTATTGACGGGTTGTGCAGAGGAGAGAGTGTGACATTCCTGTGGGGATTACTAAACCAGCAAGCGCGTGTTGTGGGATTATCCTGGCTGCCACCCGTGGTCTTCAGCAGACAATATAGGTATCATCCAAATTATAAAAGACGGCAGGAGGGTCCAGAAGTCAAAGGTAGAATGGTCAGATAAAGAGTAGATCTCCCTAGCTTCATTACTGTCAGTGTGAAGACACACTGTGATGACCTCAGGACCTAAAGCTGGTAGCAGAGGTAAAGGAAGAGGTGAGGAGGTGAAGACAACATAACCCTATTAACCCTCTGCATAACACCCCTCAGGTAGTTTGGGCCACAGAACATCTCCAGAATAAAAGAGCAGATGTAAACAAGAAAAAACGGGGAGGTCAAATTATCTTTGGGAAAATGCTAGTTTAGAAAGTGGAAATGAAAGAGATGGTGTATAGTTTATTTTCATAATGAAAAGAAGGAGGAAAACATCAGCAAGACATGATGAATAAGCAGCTACAAAGCAGCTTCAGTTCCTTGGTGGAGACACCCTGTTTTCTGGGTGTAGCCTGTTGTCCCTCAGTAGTCGTTACTCTTTCAGTCTCACACAGAGCCAAGGCCGAGGGGCTTGGCAGCCAAAATCGAGCTCAGGGCGAAGTCAAGCTCTTGAGAAATTACTTCCATACTGGTCCACATTATCTGCCATACCCTCCGCGTCATTAGCAACAATGCCATCAGTTCCTGAGGAAACACTGGAGGGCGTTAAGTGCCTGCTATCACATGACCACTAACGCATCTTTACAGCAGCGCCGAGCGGAGAACAGAATGGGGAAAAGATGGCGTCATTAATTCTTCATCTTCTGATTTACTGAAAATGAGAGACAAGCAGCGAGCGTCCCATGAGAGCTGTGGCAGGTAATTGTCACAGTTAAAGCGAACCAGATGGCAGCAACATGCTCCTGCTTTGGGAAAATTGCTTTAACAATCTGGGACTTAATCTGGCATCAAATCTGGGGACACCTCCAGGACACTGTGCCTGGTTGTCATTGTTTTTGGGTGTGTTCATCAGGGTACGGGTTGACTAGCTTGCCACATAGCTGGACAGGGATCAAGAAAACCTGTTCATCACAAAAGCCTTAGATTTAGGGCTGTAATCATGTTGATGAGTCCTGGATATCATCTGGTCATTGAAGAGGATGGTGGAGACAAGATGGGGAGAAAGAGAGGCAAAGACAGAAGGGAATAGAGAGTAAACAGAGGGAAAAAGTTAGAGGTAATATGTAATTTGCTCTGATAAAACAAACATCACATTTTAAATTTAATATTTTTTCCTTCATAAAAAAAATGGGAAACACAGTTCAATACATTGATATAAGCCAAGACTGAATTACATTATCATGCATTCTGTCCAAGAAGCTCATGTTGGAAAAAAAAGAAAAATGTGGGTAACAAATGAAATCTGATAGAATACAAAGGCGAGGGTGCAAATGAGAGAAGAAGTGCATGTTTTCACTGGAACTCAAAAGCTGTTGCTGTCATTGCTTAGCTGGACCGAGCGACACAACACACTGCAGTAATTTCCAGTGTTGTTTATTTGCCAGCCAACACCCAAATGTAAGCTGTGGGAGGATGTTATGAGGTTGTCGGATTTAAGATTTTTAAGAAGTGTCACTGCGACAAATGTAGAAGAGGTTATCAAACTCATATGTACCACGGTGACAACATCATAGCAAAGTGAAAGCTGCTATTACTATTCCAACACAGCACACATCACCACCACATCTGGAGATGTAAATTTGTGTTGTGTTGGAAATACTTATTTGTTGCTTTTCAGACTCTTTTTTATTTATTTATTTTATTTATTAAAATAAGATGCAATGTTAGTCTGAGCTCCTTTGTGGCCCTAAAAGGCAACAGTCCAAGAACCTCTGGTCATTCTATTGCAGTGTGTCAGTATGAGAAAACATGCAGCTGTTGAATAAGGAAAAGACCTCACAACACTGTATGTTTGAGCCGGATATTCAGGAGACACCTCTGTAAATCCAAACATTAACAGAAGCTGATTAATCTCTGGGACATTGTCAGACCCACCAGTGAGTCCATCTTTATAAAGTCATGTGGTTCATACACATACACACATAGAAATGCATTATAAATTGTACTCAAATGAAAATTTGTAGAGTTTAAGAAGTTAAATGCCATAGGTAGAATATGAAAAGTCACCGGGTTTTTTTGTTTTTTTTTGTGAAGTGCCTTTTAAAAAAACAAAAGAACAAATATGTCTGTATATGTTATTAGGTGGAGACTGCAAATATTCTTTAGCATCTGTAGACCAGTTCCACGTCTAAGGACAGTGCTGTGGTCAGAGAGAAGCAGGGGGAGTTCAATATGAACCCCAATAAGCAATGCAATCCATACTGTAAGATGTAAGATGTAGAAAACCTGTGAAATAATTATGCAAGAACACGCCTGTGCCACAGCTGACTGTGTTCGATGCTGGGAAAGCGCGCATGTTTTGGTTTTGTCTGTAACACCAATGATGACGACAAAATAATGATTCAGCCTTCTTTAATGGGAGATGTGGAAGGAATGGGGGACAAAGATTCAGTAGGGCACCACACATCTGTTACTGTGATGATTTTTCAGAGGTTTGTGTGAGTGCCCAAACTGAAAAAAAAAAACGTCATGAATGAAATTTGAGGGAAAAGAATGTCTCATAGACCCATAAAAGTCAAAGCTTGGAATAATTTTCTTGCATCGTTGTTAAACTCTGGTTTGGGGCCACATGGAAAAGCTTATTCTTTAACTAAAAGAAGACTTGAGAGATTGTGTGTCATGTTGACACTATCTTAATATGAGCTACTTGAAAATCTGCAACATATAATCTCCATTTTCCCATCTAAACTCCCCCAGAGATGTGCTTTGTTTTTGTAGTGCTACTGTATGCGAAGAGAGGCTCCACAAAGTGACAAAATGGAACTAAAAAATGTAAGTAATCTAGGGGAAGCAGTGATAAGAACAACTACCAAATATGGTGATACACTGGATGCATCAGCACTATGACTAACCTGTGATTTTATTCCTGTTCACAAGGTTCTGGGCTCAGAGTGTGAAGCAGCCTGCGCTTCCGTCTCGGTTGTTCGTCTTCATCGTCAGAAAACGTCTGGTCCACAGAGATGCCATGGCACTCAAGATTACGACCTGCATACAATATATGCGGTACACACATCAGAGGCATACACAAACAAACGTCATTACTTTGCTGTTGCTACTTTGAGCAAGCACATCTTTAATCAATGATGTCATTAAGACACCTGAACCTTCAGGGCAGTTCATTTGAAAAATCAATCCTGTCTGCAGTAAATCAAAAGGTAGTACATGCTAACAACATTTCTTCACAATGACTTCTGGACTGCAAATTCCTCAGATGCCTCTAAAAGCCTGCATGCCAAATTTTTGGGATTACGTGGGTGGTTTCATCACTGAAGCCCAAACTCTCCATCTTCATCGCTTAAAGTGATTCTCCATCAGTGTCATTTGTGGCGTATTGCCTCAGTTAACCTATGTTAACCCTGGAAATCTCCACACCTGAAGTCCTGTGACCTTTATCGGGAATAGAGATCTGGCATTCCACACAAGCCCAGTCACACTCGGATAAAATCATTTATATACAGACATTCAAACACACCTGTTTGCCCTTTAACACTGCTGCTAGCCTGTTCGGATGCAAAGATCGACAGATTGAGCAGTTGTGTGAGATAAAAAGAAAAACTTTGAAGACGTGAGCTGAACTGATTCAGAGATAAAAACTAATATGTATAAAATAATAGTACTAAATAATAGTACTGTAGATATTCACAGTAAATGAATGAAGAGTGTATTGAGTCTGGTGGTACTACAGTCCATCTGACTGAAAAAGAAGCACTTTCTATCATTTCTTTGCTATTACTCCTTTCCTTCTCTGACACTCTTGACTTCATCCCTTCAGCACAGACTGCCTCTCTCCTCTCCTTTCATTCTCCTTCCTCCATCTCTGTCTCTTTTATCTTTAGTCACTTGACTGTGAGTGATCTGCTTCCTATGTTGTCACTATCAGATGCTAAACCTGGAGGGAGCAGGTCAGAGAAAGAGAGTTTTTTTTTTTTCTCTCTTTTGTCTCTAAGTCTACTCTGTCATTACTCTCTCTTATCAGGCCTCAGCAATATGAAAACACAGCCCGAGGCACGAGGGTTAACTGGGGCCACACATGTCAAAGGGGTGATGTGTAGCCCACTATGTTGGTAAAGTTTGGGTAGATTTCTAAATGCAAATAAAACATTAATCTGCTTTTGTGCAAACAGTTTCTGATCTGGGTCAAACTCTGCGAGAGCCAAATGGGTGGGGAGGTCAGTGAGGTCTCAGATTCACCAAAGTTTACTTCATTTACTTACGTGTTTACTTCATTTTTAAACACAAAAGGTTGCTGCAGCTCATAATTTATGTTTCATGCCCTCAGATTATTCTGAATGTAGCTATGAATTAATTGGTTGCTGGGGTTACCAGACAGAGGCTGCACAATATAAACAAGAAGGACTAACAATGCATTAGGCACCCATTAGCATATTTGAACAGCCATTGACATGAATATATGGCTTAATTCCACCACAGTGCTTATGGCCAAGAGAGCAACGCCTAGAGACTGATTTGTTGGACAGCTGAATAAGTATAAATACTGCAACACACAGATACTCAGACACACAAGCTGGGACACACACCCATAACATTTAAAAAGTAGAGAATATCAGAATGCTTGGACAAATTCAACTGGGCACTGAGATGAGAGTGAAGTGCCGGGTGATTTTCGCGGACAAGCTGAAAACACAAGAAAGCATTGTAAATGTTTCTGGACTGCAAACAACAAAGTGTTTGAGCCAAGACCCATACTGCGCAATCTACAACCTCCATCCATCTTCACCAAAAGCCAGGATCGGAGCGAAGGGCATGGAGGGGAGAGTGTGTGTGTGTGTGTGTACGCGTGTGTGTTTGTGTGAGTGAGACAAAGTGCAGAGAATGAGTGCCAAGCCACGAGAACCTGCTGAAATCACTACAACATCAATGTGTTTTGCAAAACTATTATCCTCTCGGGGTGGCTTGACTTTGGCTGTGAGCACAAACACGGCCATTGAGAGAGCGATCGGCGGGTTATCCCAGCAGACTGCAGCACTGTAGCAGAGGGGGGTATGACTCAGTAGATGTGACATCACAGCTTCTCTGTATGATGCAGGACGGGGAAGACCACCTCACAGTCCGCCGTGTTGAAGCAATCAAGGCAGACTCCGCTGGCTGACTCACTGACAAGTGTTTCCCAGAACCCAGCTACCCGAGGGTATATTCTCTGCTTGTGCTTTTAAGTTAACATTCAAGCCCCCTGCTTACATGATCAATTACATTCAACTGTCAAGTTTATTGGACACTAAAATCAGTTCGAGGAAAGCCAAAACTTGAGAGTTTACCTTCGAGTCTGCATCATTACTGAGTCATATATGTGACCTATGACATCACGGGGAGGACTGGGAATGGGTAAAAAATTGCCATGTTAAACACTCACACACCCTGTTCCATCAAGACATGGTGCATGCGTAAGTACTGTAAATGGAGCATACTGGAGCATAATTTGTTGCTGGTGTGTCTTGTGTAACAGTAAATTCTGATAAAAGCGCCCTATGAGTCCAAAATGAGTTATATCAAGAGAGGAAGCCTCTTTTTTAAAGGAGCTCTTTGTAAGTTTTGCTGTTGCTACATAGCCAACATAAGCATTAACTGGTTTACTTACCATTCTTACAGAGAGCTTCAGCCACCGTTGCATTTACAGTACAAGAGGTTATAATACGTGAACACAAGGCAATCGCAGTCCAGACTGTTCTCGTCTGTGGTTCCCCAATGGTGGAAAAAGCTACCAAATGCTATCAGAGCAGGGGCGTCCCTCTCTATCTTCAAGAATCTCTTGAGGACTCATCTCTTCCGAAAGCACCTCTTCTCTTAACACCTAGAACACCCTAACATGTCGAACTAGCGCTTACAGTGAAAAACAAGTAGGCTGGTTTCCATCACTGGAGACAGCTCTTGGCAAGTAAAGGAATGAAGTTTGATGCTGAACAGTAAAACTTACAAGTAGCTCCTTTAAATGATGTTTAAATGATGCTCTGAAACATAACACAGTGTTCAGCATTTATCTGATTCAGCCCCCCTACCTGAATGATACATGCATTATTCATCTGGTAGCTTTGTGTTTACCCTTTAATATACAGCATTACAACTGTAACACTGTCACCTAAACCCTGATTATATTTTGATCAAACTCACCCTTTGTGCACATTAACTCACAAACATGCATCTAACTGCCTGGTTTTATTTTGTTGTATGCTGCATTGTTAAGGTCATTGTTACCCCCTGAAAGCCTTGTTATTTTGCTCTGATTAATTAGAGGGCGAGGAGATGTTTGAATCTGGTTATTATCATGAGTATTAGTGTTGCAATATATGACGCAGACAAAGTTGAAAACACTCTCACTTTTAGTACCCGATTATTCATCCTGAATTGGCATATAATGGTTTATTTATTATGGTTTAAGGGACTTAGGGGCAGATTTTCTTCTGGTGACATTCACCACACAGACACACACACACACACACACACACAAACACATACAGACAGACACACACCTGTGATGAGAATAGTTGACTCCTGAGATGGATGGATGCTCTGAACTGTCTCCTCTCTTCTGTCCTGACTGCCATCTTCACCCTGAGTTGCTTCAGTGTCACTGGAGAAAATTACACAAGTTTGACAGGAGAGTTTAATGTAGATATATCAGTGTGAGAGGGACAGTGTGAAAAACTAAAGACAAAAATTGAGTTACATGGGTGACTATGCTTTAGAAAATACAGCATCTCATTTTACTGTGTTGGCAAATGCTTTGGGTAATCATCTGTCAATATTTAATATTACTGACCGCAAGGGATAGTGGCAAAGCCAAACATATGAGCCGCAATTATGAGTAAAATCTTCCATCCAAACTCTGTGGCAATGACGGAAGGTATAACACAGGCTTGTAAAAAAACAAAAAACAAATTAGCCATTGTCAGTGTTCTGCAGAAGCCAGAGGTGTAGCAAACCAGATCTGACAGCACTGTGCTGACCTGCTTGGAAACAAAACTTGGGACTAAAGCACTGACTTGAATATGCTAATTTATTCTACATTAAACGCTAAATTAACTGTCAGACAATAAAGTGCATCTCATGAAATGTTAATCCCTCAGTTTCACCCACTGGTGTTGTGACGCATGAAGCCTGTGAAAGTCAAATACCATTTTGAACTGTTACTGTGCAACAAGTAGTCTAACACGTACCTACAAGAAAACAAGGCTAAAGATGCAGCAATAAGTTGGTCAACAGAATGTTAATCAGCAGCTATTCTGATCAATCCTTTACATCAGTTTTCAAACAAAAATAGCAAACATTGGATCATTCCAGCTGCTGACATGTGAGAATTTGCAGATTTTCCTTGTCTGAATGTTTTTGGGTTTTAGGCTACAGGTCAGACGAAAAGAAGACATCTGATGACACCACCTTAGGCTCTATGAATGTATAATAGGCATTTTCACAGTCCTGATGTTCTATAGAACAAATAAAAACCCCATTAACTGCAAAAATATTCATCTGTTATAATATATAATGTATCATATTATATATTATACTATATAATGTTCAGATTAATTGATAGTGATAATAACAGAAGAAAATTGTTCTCTGAGATGCCTCAAAAATCAAAAATCATGTAGGTTGAAAAATAAATTAGTCAAATACACTCATACATCAGTACTGTATGTTAATACATCATAGTATCAACTGGTCACTGCCATTTCATCAGGCAGAATTTTTTCTTTTTTTTTTAATGACCACATACATTAATAGGTAAACCCTGTGTATATTTCACTGGGTCCTGTATTTTAAAGTAGCAAAGCTAGCCAGGTTTGCCAGAGCATCAGAGGAAGCCATGTAACACCAGTCTGCTGACCTCTGTCTCCTCTCCTCATCTCTCTGCCGGGCAGCGGTCTCTTGGAGCTGGCAGACAGCGTCCTGCAGGCCTCTGATCTTTGCCTTCTTCTCGTTCAGCACCATGCCGAAACGTGAGTAAAGCTTCCTCTCCAACATCTCCTTATCCTGAACTTGCTGCTCCAGCCTGGTGAGAAAACACACAGACACTGATGTATGTGCAAAAAGTTAAAATACATGCAGAGACTCACATGACTGACAGACCGACAGACAAATACATGTTTTAAAAGCTGAGAATTAGTGTTTGTCTGCCTCCTGAGAGCAATTTGCGAAGAAGAATGATGCTGATGCCTCCACCCTGTGCACACATAAGTCACCCTGAACCTCCATCTCTGGCAACGATTCATTCGTTGGCCAATGAATGATCAAGGAGATAAATAATCACACCAAAGATATTATTTGAAAAGAAGTCAAGCGCCAGGGATATATGACATGAAAGACATACCGTATATTTCATCATTAGAATCATTTGAAGTTAGTTCCCAGAAATCATAAGCCCAGTTCACTGGGTGTAACCCTCAATACTCCTACATGGGCGAACGGTGATGATGTCATGGATGATTGTTGTGGATATAAACAGCTGGCAGCGTGTCTTAAAAAGCAAAGGGAGTTTGCATGCAAACAACACAATCAACAAAGAAATACCAGCGGCTAACATCTAAAGAAAATAATTAGATTCTGTCGGGATGTTTTCCATTTGAACTTGCCATTTGCTGTCCATCACACATTTTTTCATGAACACACATTTTAATCCACCACCAGAGCTTCTTTCCTCTTTATTCTTACTCTGTGAGTATTCGCTGGTGCTGCTGTTTCAGTCTACGGTTCTCCTCTAGCAGCTGGTAGTTTTCTGACTCCAGATCTGTGCTGCGCTTTAGGGACTGGCCAATCATCTCCCGGTTCAGCTCTAGAGAGTCTGGAGCTTGCTGGAGCTCCACAGAGCCCAAGTGCACCTGAAGGACGGAGGGAAAGAAGAGTAGAAAAGAAAAGATAAATAAAGTTCTGTCTTCAGGTTGGCTGGCTTCATCATTCATCAACAGTTGAGGAGCTCAGCAATGTGGGAGGACCTCACTGCACTGACAGGTGACAGTTAAGGTAGTTCATGGCACATGGTAAGCATAACCTCTGGGTGCTTCCCTTTGAGCATGCCAGACTGGGAGGAGACAGCACCAAAGATTTAAGGCTACATCTCGCAGCTGCCCCGGGACAACCTGGGGATCCTCTAGGAAACACTGGAGGAAGGTACCCCTGGAAAAAGCACATCTAGCACCGTAATCCTGACATGAGCAACAGGCCAGATGTAAGGCAAGAACCTAACGGTCTCATCTACAGCAGCTTCCAAAATCTACGTACAGTGAAAAATGAGCAGGCACTTGCACCTCACTGTTATCCCAAGAAGCTGTGCAATATAGAAGTGCAACAAACCATTACATCACATTCTCTTTGAAGTGGGAGACTTTTTAAGATGATGATGTGTTTGCTTCTGTCTGTGAGAAATACAGGATGAATTGACTAGTCAGCAGTAAACTATCCAAGTGAGCACACAGTTTCCTCTCTGTTGATTTTTGTCAGTGGCTCTTTGGAATCACAGGCAGGCTTCAGAAGTAATAAAACATTCCTCATTTGGTTTGTATTTTGGCGCTCAGTCACAGAGCAGGGCCGGGGAATTGCAGTATTTTCTAACATTTAGTTGATGCGTAAAATTTTCTAAATTATCGACAAAATAGGAATCAATTTATAGCAAATGGCAATAATCAAATACGGAAAACCAGAAGCAGTGTTCAACCCGGAGGGAGTTTGCTCATTAAAGCTGCCTCACGAAACATTTATTTTTCAAATAGCAGCACAATCTTTGTTTGCTTGTTGCCTTGGAGATTCTCACATTCGCAAACACACACGCGTACACACTGATGCACACACAGACGGAAAGGTACTGCTCGTGATGTACTGGGAAACCAGAAGGTGATGAGGTGCTAAATCTTCACTGGGCTGCGTCGAGGTTGCAGACCCACTATAATAAAGCCTCCATCTTCAAAAGCTCTCATAAAATACTTGTCATTTTTGTCCCAGGTTGATGCTGTCCTGGCAGGTCACACAGCTGTTTTCCCCTCCGCTGGTGAACCTGAACATGTTTCAGTGAGCGGACATTCACTTCACGTCGCTCCCACAGCTTCACAGCCTTAGCCTACCTGTCTGTCTCTGTTAATCTTCCGTTCTGTGGCAGTCTCTTTCTCTTAATGCCAAATTCTGTTCTCTCTTGTCCTCCTCCTATGTTTTCTCCCCCCCCCCTCGCTCTAAAATTAATACAGACTCACAGGTAATTCTTGAAAAAATAAATAAATATTTGCACAAGTTTTCTAAAACATCCCAGCTCTTTTGCAACTGCAAAGGCTATTTGGTGCAAATGCTGCCAATACCTACCCTGATCACAACAATGAAATCAGCGATTTAAAAAGACTCATCTTGGAGGATGGGGACACAGTGGAGACCACCTAGGATCTTAAGGAGGATGATGTTCCCAGGAAGTCATAAAAATGTAGGGCAACATTAGGATGTCACAGTGATCCAGTGCAGGCTCCTCTCTGGGATTAAGAGGGAGTTTGTGTGACACTCAGCTTTCTTTGTAAGTCCACGTGTCGACATAGCTGTGATTCAGTGTTTGCGCCAGATGGTCCACCATCAATATGAAACGCTGAGACTAGTGTAGGTAGAGGCTCAGTAAGAATGGGTGATGTTTGGCTGTTTGAATAGTGTGCAAGTGATCATGTCGCACATTACTATCTGTATGCTCACAATGCAATGAGCAATAAATCAGCCATGTGAGAGGGGATAATGTTAAGGCTTTGGACACTGACATGGTGACTACACTAATATTTCCAAACTTTAAAGAATGCCGTAATGTCCTACATTTACTCTGCGAGTCTCACTCCATAATAATGACTGGGACGTTTTCAAACTTTGTCATCAAAGTTTTACACACTGACACAGTTAAAGACCATAAATCTTTCTGACCTGCATGTTAACAAAGTATTACCAGTTTAAGACACCAGATACAGAGATCTAAACTGCAGGAATCACAACCCTTATTTACTGAATTATCACTGAAAATAGCACTCAGCTGCTGTTTATTTCGTCTTCTCCTTCCTTTAAATACTAAAAGGTTGTGTGTTTCACTGTCTTTACTTTAAGGGTTTCTCAGAACTACTGCAGTAAACATGCAAATTCCACATCACCAGAAGTTTACCTTAAGCTTACTACATTGCATGGAAAGAGGAAGGATGCACTAAACAAGATGTAAATCTGAAAATGTAGGCACACAGCATACTAATTTCTACATATCAGATAAGCAGTGATGAATGCTTGTTTTTATTGGTTAAAGTTCCTTGTTGAAACAAAGAAAAAGCCTAAAAAGCTCTCTTTATTTTCTTGAGCTTTGGTTTCTCTCCTGAGACACAGAGATAAAGTTAAAGGTCAGTCTGCACACTGCTGCCAACTTCTGCCAAGGTGTGGGAGGTCAGACTGTTCGTCTGTGATGCACAACCCACTGCCACATTTTTCTACTGTGTTTTCTCAACTGAAATAACACGAAAATACGTAAATAGTTCTTTGAGGTTGTTTCAGCCTCTAGCAGCAAAAGACTTTATGAATCTTAAGACACACGGTGGGCCAGTTTTTGACCATCAAAGACATTGAGGCCAAGTTCTTGACCTTGCATACCCTGAAAAATCCACTGTATATAACATTGTCGACACCCACGTTCAGGAAAATATGTGAATATAAAATCCTCTTCTCAGGATGAATTTGTCCTACATTATAATGTGGTCAAGTGTGTGTGTGTGTGTGTGTGTGTGTGTGTGTGTGTGTGTGTGTGTGGTCCACTGTTTGTTTGCGTGTGCGTCTCCAGACAGCTAGCCAGACCATAAGGTCAACCCCGTAGAGAAGGGGGGATGTAGGTGTGAAAGACAAAGCCAAAAGAACACAATCCCAGTGAAAACGATAGCATAACACACTGTGGGCACAGTGGACACAAAGCTTTCCCTATCACACCGTCCAACACACAGCTGGAGACCTAACCCACCCTTTATTCCCAAGGATCAGAGTACAATAACCCCCTTTAATCAATAATCAGTTATCAATGAAACTGATATTATTGTATCAAAGAATGAAAAAAGCCAGATACATTTAGCGCATTTGCCAACAAAAACTCCAGCTTTTTTTAAATTGCACAATATCATATAAGACCAGCAATGCCCGTATGCCTTATAATTTGAAACATCATAGTGAACTTGTCATTGATCAAAACCCTTTTTTCTTTCTGTCTATCTATCTGAAAATAGTTATTAGGGAACAGGGAAGTGAGTGGGCGAGCACTGTGTGCTTGATGACAAAGAGACAGTGTTCAAGGGTGGGCACGGGTGCTCAGTATGGGAAGAGTGGGCATCGAGCAGAGATCAGCCTGTCCCATCAACTCCCTCATCCGCCGTGCAGAGGCGTCAGGCCAGATAAAGAGCAGGAAGTAGGGGGCGACAGCAGTCCATCACTGATAACACAAATATTCTCATAAACAACAGCCATGGAGAGCAGAGAGTGGGGGAAAATACTTAAAATGCTTCATTTCACTTAGATATGGGCCTAGAATATTGGGTTCAGAGATGTTTGTATGATGCAGGAACACATTGTCAAGGTTAGCTAAACTACAAGTCCGTGAAAAATAGTGTGAGGTGGAACTTGCTGGTGGAGACAGCAGGAGAGATACGTCGGTGGATCAGACTCTTCAATGTGGTCAGTATTTAAATCTGGGTTCAACAATTTCCCAGACACTAAAAGCAAAACATGTATCCAATGTGTCCTCATTTTTGCCCTTGGTGTTTGGAGGATTGCTGATTTTAGTTTTTTTCTGAAACCACTATAAAAGCATTTTGCCCACTTCAAGGAATTGAAAATTTGCATCATCAACAATGAATTTGGTGGGTATTCCTGTTCTGATCCATCCAAATTGTTAACAGTAACTAATGTCATTAAAGAGGCCAGTCTCCACATGTAGGCAGACGGTGCTCTTTGGTTTAAGTAAACAGATGACACAGTGAAAAATGACATGTTATATCGGGTTTGTTAAGACTATGAGTCATGCTAGTAGGACTGAAACCATTAGTGCATTAATAAATTAGATGACTGAAAAATAATGTTTTATCTACAACTATTTTGATAATTGAGGCTGATTAAGTAATTTCTCAAGCCAAAAATGCCAGCTTCATAAATGTCAGGATTTTTTTCATTTTCTATCATTGTAAAATGATTATGTATATTTTGGTTTTGGATTATTGGTCAGACAAAGAAAATTGGAAGATATAACTTTGAGTTCTCGGAAATTGTTACTTATTTTTCACTGCTTCATGACCTTTTATACATTTAATAATTCATCCAAAAAATGAGTCACAGATTAAAACTAAAAACGTGCATGCAAGACACAAAACTAAAGACAGGAAAAATTCAAATAAAACGAGATCGGCCACCAAGCACAGAACCACCAAGACACAACACAGATAAGGAACATTAACAAATAATAACTCAAACTAATAAAAAAATCTGCTTACATGAAGAAAGGAAGACAAAAGCAAGCCAAAGAGTCACCAAAGTAGTTCGGTGGCTCGTAAAGAAATAGGTCACCTAGTAATGTATTGTCCCTTTATCTGTAAAGTTTTCACTTTTGGACCATTAGTTATATGCATATATTAGTTCCAGTTATAATGATTGATCTGGTCTAACTGAATTTCATTTACAGTCCCAAATACTCTACAGATTGGAAATGATCACGCGCATGATTTATATTTGCAAATAATGTTGACAAACTCAGGCTGAGAATGTACAAACACACTTGTAAATACATATCATTTCACACTTCAAATTTTAGGATGATTGAATCAGAATGAGAAAACATGGCCTTCTCCAGTCAAATTTCTGGCTGGCTCACACTGCACAGCTGGAATCCCCAGTGAACAATAACACAGGATCTATTTGACAAACATAAAACATGGAAAAATCAGTGTCACATTTCATCCACACAGACTCATCCAGGATCCTGGGGCTTCGATTACCACAGCTGTCAGAATCCCAATCTCTCCGGATCAAATCTGGTCTGAAGTAAGAACTAAGCTGTAAGTGACACTCGAACACAGAGTGATAATTTTTAATAAAATGATGGGACGCCGCTGAATAACCGATCAAAGTGCTGCTCGTCACAGCACTACATCATGCATTTCAAAAGATTCTGTACTTTTTTATCAAACAAAACCAGATGCAATAACTGACTGATGTAAAATAAAGTAAGCCATGTTAAAGAGTTAAGTACCGTAGCGCCTACAAAAAAATACTAAACTAAAAGGAAAAAAAAAGTTTTTTGGTCTCATATTTGGGAGCCAAATCGGGGTAATTTTAACCAGATGTACAGGATCTGTTAGTTCCACTTACATGTTCCAAAATTCTTAATCCGCAAGAATATTAAGTTTCTGTGTTGCCAAGTGTCAGTACTTGATTTTTTTTTTTTTCCACCAGTGACAGATTGGTACTTAAACAGACATTAAGGAGGAGATAATGTCTGACTTAGCCATCCAAAACACCTGCTTAGTAGTAGTTTAACAGCAAACACCCAAATTACATTCATCATTACAACTTCTGGGGTCATATTCATAAAATATTAATGTCAGGTTAAGTTCACCACCTGGTTTGCGTCTGCCCTCCTTTCTTCTATTCCCAAAGGAAACTTCCCTCATTTTTGGTCATTTCTGCACCCTCAAATTATCTGGCTGGGAAAATATGTTCCACTTTTTAACCTCTGACGTGTTCAAAAAAGAAAAAAAAGGCAAACGAGGGAGAGAAAGAAAAAAAAAGAAAGAAAAGAAGCAGGTGTTAGACAAGAGTGGTAGTTTGCACTTAATGCAAATAGTCCCCCAGGATTCTTAGATTTGTGTCTACCACACACAAACCACACACAGTGATGATTACTGTCAGCAACAATGTGAGCATGGATTCGATTTTTAAAAAAGCACACTTGGGGCTGGACAGATTTGTCAATCATTTTGTGTGGTCTAGTTGCTCCTTTTGGCAACAACTTTTGACCGAGCAAAAAACACAAAAAACACAAAAAACACAAAAAAAAAACTTCCACCTACACAGATAAGAGAGCTCATTTATGTCATGTCAAAACCAGTGGAATTGTTTAATTAGTGAATACAAAACTTAAATTATTTGTTTCTCTCTGGAACAAAGCCATCAACCAAATCATCCAGGCATCAGAAATGCATTGTGAATTATTGTCAATATCAATAATATATTATTCCATTTTTAAAAAAAAGCCTTGATTAATTAATAGTAGCATTAAGGTTGTCCCAGTAGTATCCCCAGTAGTGGGGATTCAAGAGTCTCAAAGAGCCAACATCCACAAAAACAAAACAATAATTTCTTGATATCTTGTATATATATGTAAATAAATATGGGATGTACTAGTTACACGAGATACAGTCACATACAACTGATTAGTCAAGTATGACACTCAAAGGCTGATAGCCTGGCAGCCGAGTCTAAAACCTACAGAATGTCTACACATGTCTGGACATGGACACATTCACACATAGGCACACTTGTATACGCGGCCCACACTCATAGAGACAAAGAAAGACAGGGGAGGTTGGAGAAAGAAAAGAAAAAGGCTCTTATCAACCGTTGTTTAACATTGTCAGATGGGGACAGCCCCTGTCCATAAATCAGGGCTTTACGGTCTCAACAGTGATGCTAACCCCCCCGGCCATCTCCCTCTGGTCTTCTCTGCCTTCACAGCAGTCCCAGGACCCCAAGTGAAATGTTCCCTGGAGGCAACAGCATCCTCTCACAGTTTGGAAGAATAACATTTCAAATCCACTGAAAGCATCATGACCTGTACTCCATCAAACCTGTCAGTCTCTGTGGAAGAACCACCTTAGCACAGTATACAATACAGGACTCTGAACATTTTCAGTTTCTGTCAGTGCATAAAGTTAACAAGAGATGTGCTTTCATGTGGGGAAGTGATTGTTTACATTAAAGCAAGCCAGCTCCACCTGACCATTTAACCATTTTCAATCAACAAACCTTTTTCTCTTAACATTTACAAACTGAAGCCACCCACCTCATACCGTTGCTATCGGATGACTGTGAACAAACTGAATGATTCCTATCTGTGGCTTTTTCCACAGGGGCCTGAAGGCAACCAAGCCTTTCTAATTCGCCTATAATGTTGGAAGACTATAAACCTTATCTTTTTTTACAGCCCCCTGTAAAAAATAAGACTTCCTTTCTATTTTGTTGTATGTCGTTAGATGCATTTATCCCCGGGGAACAGTAACAAAAGGTAAGTACACGATGTTGTGGAATTCAAGGGTGAACCACACAGATTCCTCAACACTTGGCTTTCAAACTACCCACTTCATCTAATGGGTCTGCTCTACATCTGTTAGAGGGTTTATCACTTGATGTATGATGTGCCCCTGAATAAGAGCACTCTGTGCCAGTGAAGAAAAGCATCCAAAACCAATTCCAGCAGATATCATCCAACTACAGAGCCTCAGTGCCAACAGCTTTAGCTCCAGTCCAGCTTTATGTTGGCAAGAGGTAAGCTGTTTAAAACTGCAGACGTATCGATGTGCTCCATCTACAGGCAAGGTAAGTACTAACTGCTGCAATTTTGACACTTGTGCCACCTACAGTCAGTGTTAGTGGTGTTGGTGGAGGCATGCTGTTTCAGGTACTGGCAAGACAATACAATATTACATTCTGAGAAATAAATTCATGAGTCTGAAGGTTTGTTACCAAAACGTTATCACACTGACATTACATTTATCTTTTATCACAGCGATCATTAGGTAAACAGTAGAAATACAGCATTCATATTGTAAAGTTATCTGCAAGACATGTGCACTTACATGTATTTGATTGGACTACATGCCAGGTGATGTCACATTGTGTTGTGATGCAGCCAAAGCTGAGCCAGGATCAACTTTTTTTCAACACAACCCTGAATTTTGAATGCCCTCTGCGTTGGCATTGTTGCCGTGCCAATGCAGCAGTCCCTGTGAAATAAATGAAGGGGCTGCATTTTTTTATGCAGTGCCATTGTCTGTCTGATCACAGTCTTAAAGCTGCTGCTTGTGCCACTTAGTTTAAAGTTTATTACATGAACTTTAACACCTAAAAATGTAAAGGTTTTCTACGCTAGACAACTCCGTCTTTCTTTCTTAATACTGGTAACAAAAAAAGATTTCACAACAGTCAGTGATAATAAAAATCTACTCAAAGCTTTTGCTCACCGAGACGTCATTAGAGATCTTCTGATATGAGAGATGACAGTGATCTGGAGTAAGGTGGAAAGAATACACCTCCTTGTTGCCTCCTCCTCCTCCTTCCTCACTTCTTGTTAGTGCTTGAAGAAGATCCTCAACATATCTTTCCCTTGTGACTCCCAATTCAATGGCATCCTTTGTCATTTCATCTTCTGAAACTGAACACAAAAAGTTTTGATGAAACATTTTTCTAATTTCTGCGTCATGTTAAAGTCATGCAACTGAGAGTAACCAGACAGAGGGCAGAGCAAAACTATAAACATAAATTACGTAGTAATGCATGGATGCATGTGAAAGCCGATTTGAAGAGAGGCATGCAGAGAAACCAAGGGGAATGTCATCAGCTGTTGCACAGCTGCTCACACGGGGTTGAGGGTCCCAATTAACACATCAAACACAGAAACGCTGACGACCCAGAACCCCGCACATAGCTGTCACAACCCCATCTCTGCCTGTCAACTCCGCAGATGGACAGCAATAGAAAACTAGGGAGCAGTTATGTTCCAGGTGTCCTTCCATAGCATACGTACTCATGTGCATATGTAACCACAGACACACACACACACACACACTGAACACTGGCTTGCACATACAAAGACAAGCCTTGTAGAGTTTAATCTATTTTATACACCTGTAAGCTGCAGAACAGGAGTGAAGAGGGATGATGAAACAAGGTCATTGCTGTCACTCTGGTTAAAGGATCAACAATTACAATATTATGAGATGGGGTTCAGCCAGGTGCCTACACGGTTTGGACAGCCAGATGAATGGTAGACCTGGTGACAACCCAGTCCAGTCAATGTTCAAAATATGCAAGTCTCTGTAGTACATGTTAGCTCAAATTTGTGGCTAAAATCACGACAAACGTGGCATAAAAATGTTGTGTTTTAAATACTTTGACTGGTCCTCAATTCTTGATGCGTTTCTGAAATGTACCTTCTCCGATCCACGCTGAGCTGCCATCAGTGAGAGCTAGTGTGAACCCAGCACCCAGGTCTACTGCCCAGTCCACTCGCAGGAAGTAGGGGGTACCTGGATCAGTAACTACTGTGATCTGGCAGACTGTACCAATCATGTCTCTCATGTGGCCTTCAGACCTGCAGAAAATCAAAGATAGGCATTTAGAAACTCTTAATAAGATACCATTATGATTCTTTTCTCGTTGTTTTTTTGTAGTCAGGAGATTTCATGAGCTTAATCTTCAATGACTCCATTTTGGTGTTGTAACATGTTTATCCTCCAGCTGCATCAATGCATCTCATTGTTTCACTGCTTGGATGTGGCAATAAAAGTCTCCATGTGTGTCTTCAATGGGGGTCTCTCTGAGTCATTGGAACCACATGGAGATTAACAGGTTTTGGAAGGTTTGCATGTGGTATGTGGAAAGCCTAATTAAGCTCTCAAAACTAGCAACATTACTTACTAATGCCATTAAAGCTACTTCACATTTAGATTACTTTGCATTACACATTAGATAAAAACTACAATTTCTTTATTTCTCACCTCATATTTCCAGAAGAGCTATCATTTTTGAAAATAGGAAGCAAAGACCGAATCACATGCAAGGGATTTCACTGATGTGAGTGAAGGAGAGAGCTGTCAATCATCTGTTGCAACAACCTAACACATCTCAAGCTAATTTTCCATGGCCACACCAGACCGCAATGAGCAAAGCAAAACCTGTGGGATCCACACTCTCAGAATTACTGTACAAGAGGAAACAAAATCAATATTTGCCAATACCACTCTGTTTAATGTGTATATATTGAGCAAACCTGTTTGGTAATGTAACCTTGCCCTGAGGCTCATGTCTTGACAAACTGACTGACAAACAGCAGTTACATTTCTGCCAGAAACAGCCTACGTTCAGCAGAAGATCTAAGGATTACAGTATGATCCCTGTGACTGCTCTTGGCCTTTTGGTTTACTCACTATACATCGTTTTTCTTCTTCTCAAAAGGCTTGAGAAACTTTTACTTGATTGCTGGTGGATGTCCAGCCCAGAACATGTGATTACTGCTTCCACGTGAAGTGAGAGGTGAGTTGGACATATTCCCTGCTTAAATACAGGGCAAAGTGTGTGGAGATGGAGGGAAAAGGACAGCTAAATTGGCAGTTAGCCAAGCTGGACATGTTTGAAAAAATGAAAATGAGCGCCTTCGGACACTGTGCTATAAGTTATGATGTGACAGCCCTTTTTTTTGTATTCTTTCTTTATATCCCCCATCATGCAGCTGACATGGCAGTTGGTCAAGGTTATTCAAAATGAGACACACACATGTGCCCACTCCACACACATACACACACACACACAACACTGCATGTAGATGTGCACATACACACAGAACCGTGCAACAGATTAAAGTTGACCCTTTGTGCTTCAAGAAGGGGTGTGGCTGGATGGAGGGGCTGAACAAGATGACGGGGCTGAAGGGTTCAACTTTAACCCCATGAAGTGAGCTCAGCTACTCATTAGTTACTGTAACATCTGTTTTGCAGGGACGATGACCCTGTGGTAATGACAGAAGGACACTCCAATTAAATAAACAGCGCTGTCTGTCAGGAATGGAGAGCCGCGCAAAGCCTTCAAAGTCAATCCCGAAGTCTTCCTGTTAGCATCTGTTCAGTCACTTGATCAGCAGACACAATCACTGAAATGCTTAAATCATCAACCAAAGCTGCCCTGCATTTTTGACACAGCCTTCATCCTCTTTTCTTACAGCCCCTCTGTAATTTTTTTTCCTCAACCTTTTCATTGTCATTTCTTCTGCACTGCTGCATATGAAAACTGCAAGACATAACTCTGTGTGCAGGAAGTAGTAGGCAAATGAGTCACAAAGACAGCCTCTAATTTTGCATCTTGTGTCTTAAATGAGGGATTCTGTAGAGCAGAAAAAAGCCTGGCCAGTTAACTGTCTCTTTAATGGGTCCTGACGATCAGGCCAGTCCTCTCGCTTTCCTTTCACTGGACTTTCACCTCATGCTTTCTCCAATTTCTAGTCCTAGTCCTGTTATCATCGTCAGTCAGGGATTAAAGCAGTGCTGCTCTAACCAGCAGCAGGCTGTGCCATAGCCTTTTAGTTTCTATTTTCTCCAGCTATTGGCTATCTTAAGCCACTTGACGAATACAAACATAATTAGCAAATACAACATGCACTACAATAAAGCAAGGCCTAAGGCCTACAACATGTATCTAAAAATGTGACTGACCTGATTTATACCATGATCATGTCAGAGGCAGAATTAGGGATGTGTCACTATAGCATGACTGATGCATGCTTAAACATAAAAACCAGGTTTGAAAAACTATACTGTAATTTAACAGTGGACATTTTGAGTACTTATATTCTTAGTGCTTGCAGAGGAGACAGTGATGTAGTGGTGAAGGGGCAGGGTCATACTCTCGTGATGTATGACAAGAAGTGCCTTCTCTTGTATGCAGAAACTACATTTTATGAACTCTTAGCAAAAGCATTTGAGAATGTGACAAGTTTCAGACCTACAGTGTATCTAGTATCAGTGGAAAAGTGTCATCTTGGTGGATTATGTGGTCACTGCAGCCTGCCACAATCTATTTTTTTTTTCTTGCAACTGCTTAGAGTGAACATACTCCCTTGACATCATCTGGAATAATAATTGTAACTCTACTGCAAGCTGCATTAATACTTTTAAAATACAGGGTGAAAAATAAAAGGGAGAATGGAAGCTGAAAAACCTAAGCACAACTGCTGGCTGCATAATTTCGCTGAAGATGTTATACAGTCTTGCAAGCTACCCTCCTCTAATGAAGTCCTTGATCACAAAAAATGTATGCTAGATAGTGTAGGGCGATAAGTCATGCATTTCCATTATTTAAATTCCACTCAAATCACACAAGGAATAAATATTACTTCAGTCAATAATATATTTCACAATAGAAACTGTAGCACTGATTGAATGCAACGGAAAAGTAATCTGCAGTCTACTGGGGCAAACAGGATAGAGCAAAAGCCAAATAGCTATCACAACACATCACACGATTTGAATCATTGACTAAATTCATCCAGAGGGCAATAGTTTTAGACAAACAGCTGCACAATGACAGCTCATTGTCATATCTCCAATATTCACACAGAAATAAGTTACCGTTGTGAAAACCTAAGCTTTGCTCAGTCACAAATGTATGGCAATTCTCAGTTAAGATTATGGCTGTGTTAACGTGTAAAGACAATACAGCCTGTGAAAGCACAACATTGTTTGTTTAATTAGCCTAACCTCCATTAGCATCATGCTCTGCAGCTTGCAGGAGTCATTTGTTTGAGGGTCATAACTGCATACAAACCATGTGACCATCATCACTGCAGTCACCTCCAGTATCACTTTCTCGAAAATCAAAACTCTACATGAATATTTACCAGTACTTGAAGAAAGTTTTAAACTGACAAATGTTACAATATAGAGTTTGACCGGATATCCTCTCTCATACCAACAGCTAAAGAATGCATATATTGAGGCTACAACAAGATTTGACTGCAGTAACCCGGCATACATGTGCTGTACTGAAGCCCAAATTGATCAGTGCACTGCAAACTTATAACACTTGATCACATTAAGAGGAATGTGATTCTGTTTAAAGTTTACACTTGTTCCTTTGCTCTTAGAAACCAGACACTCCATTTGACGACAATTTAGTCTCCTTTTTTCACCAAGTTTTCATCCAAATTCCTCTAGTAAAATATGCAAAACATTATTTATGTGTGGTTTACAATCTGACAGATTTCTTCTTACATGAAGAGCTCTCTAGGAGTGTCTCCATATAAGTGTCTAGGCAGGGAATACAAAACATGTTTTAAATGCAATCAAGATGTGTGGCTGGTTGAAGGAAAGGGACTTCATTGTGAAAACTTTGAGAGAAAAGTAGATCACAAACGTGTCAAAAGTCTTGCATCATCAAGAAAGAATAGAATTTGTTAGGCTATCAACCAGCCAAAATTTACTTTAAGATTACGTAACAATAATTTCAAATTTATAGTAATATAATTTTGAAGTCTACAAAATGTCGAAAATGAAGAGAAATTCCATCTAAAGTCATTGATGTTTACATTAAGCCTTAACCATCGACAATTCATTTTCTGGTGATTGAGATTTCAGGTAGTCTTTGAGCACCACATGACACAAATGTTCACTTGCCTCTCTTTCCCATAATACCTCATATTTTATTATTATTGACATCCTAATATAATATCATAACAACTTCCTAGGTACTGCCACTGTCTAACTAGGCATACTTTCACCAGTGCACTGTTTAATCATTGGTGCAGGTGATACTCCTTTAATGACAAGGCGCGGACATTTAACGTGCCGCTTGACTAGTACAGTAGTTTTCGATAAGTCGGGCTAAATTCACTGAAATTTTTACGTGGGATAAAACCTTTCCCTATTAATTTTTCTCATTAGACTTACGGTGTTGTGTTGCTAACTACTGCGATGTCCAAACGAAGTCATTTTTGTGTGAAACTGAAGTCACTGCTGCAGGCTCCGTTGAAAGTTTAGGATAGACGTTTCAACTTTCAACTTGTTTTCTCAGCCAATCAGCAAACGCGGTTTTGCGGCGCAGTGCGTAATTACGTTACGTAAACTTCTTTGGTTACGCTACGTATTTTCCAGAGAGCAGGAAGTGTGATGTGGCTTTGACTCCCAGCAAAAATGGTAAGTTTGTTTTTATTAAACGACTGCTTTTGCACTTTCGCAGATTCCTTTAATCATCGCCTATCACATACATTCAACGTCTAAACTGTGTCGGCAATACACTGTGACAACAACTAATGCTTGCATTCGGTGGAAAGCAGGAGGACGTATAGGGAATGCTAAACTACCTAGCTAGCGGCTAACAGTTTAGCCAATCTAGCAATTCCATTATGTTTCTGTTCTCAAATATCATTACATTTGAGATGTATTTCACCACATAAGCTGTGGTCATGTGTCAACGCGAGTTGTTTGATAAGAAAGGCTAACAGTATCACAAATTAATGATTACAATGCATGTGAGCATCGTAATGTTTTGAAGTGTTTGCCACGTAGCTACCCACAGTTCAAGGAGCATGCATACAGTATGTGCGTGCGTGTGTGTTGTTGATTGTTACTACGGGGTTTGTCACAAGCATGCAATAACGCAAATATTTGAAACAAAAGCTTATTAGAAAGTAGAGTAATTATTCCCTAAAGACCGTGTTAAACTGAGATCTTAAGGACAAGCAGACAATTTATCGGTAGATTAGTTTCCATCTTCAACAAAACATGTAGTATCAACAAACACACACAGGTAATGGTCAATGACATAAATCCCAATGTGCTTAATAATTATACAAAAGTACGTACATTTAAATTAATAATGGATATGATGTATTGATTTCGCCAACAATAAGCTCATGGAAACATTTATAGTGCTGATTTTCAGTGGCCAGAGTGTAATTAATGCCAAGTTGGAACCAAAATGAAAAAATGACAAAACTTTTTTTTTTTTTTTAAAGCATGATAATGTCAAAGTAATGCAGACGGAAGGTGCGGCAGTGATCAAATATTTCAAAAGAAAATTTGGGATTTTAATAGCCAGGGGCACATATGAGATCATTCAATGATACAACATGCATAGACACTCTGTCTCTTTATACTGATGCACATTTACCTGTAGACAGAAACAGATGGTTCCAGAAGTAGTTGCATTAAAACACCTTGATGCAAAGACACAAACAGTTTGGTGTGTTATGAAAAATTGTCTGTGATGAAGTGGGGTCCCACAGTTTTTTATAGGTTATAAATAAGCTACATAACGTAAAGGCACAGCAGTCTTGGGTCTCTATTTCAGTCAGTATGTGCTATGGATTCTTTTTTTTAAGCCACAATACTTTTTAGGCATGTGGTCGATCTTATAAATTGGCAGACATAATAATTTATACTCACATACACACACTGTAAGAGGATAATTCTGAGTGGCAGTCTATGCTGTCTGGCAGTGAGTCTTTGACAGTCACGTTACTCTAACTGGGTCGATAAAACCAGCCCACTTAGTTGTCACACTGCCAGAATGAACAGCTGGTACAACAACATTCCTCGCTACAAGTAGCATAACATCAGTGTTAAAGAAGATGAACTACAGTCAATTCAGAGGTTCTAACTTTTATGACTTATTGCTGGTAAATTGCACTGGATCATGTCTGTGCTAAATGTATCATTCTCTTTCAACTTGCAGTCAGCCATTTTCAACTTCCAGTCGCTGCTAACAGTGATTCTCCTCCTCATCTGTACCTGTGCCTACATCAGAGCGATGGCTCCCAGCTTGCTAGACAAGAACAAGACCGGGTATGATCAGATACTACATGAGACAAAATGCGTAACAATAAAGCTTCCATTGAAATCTTTTTCTTTGATTTTTAGAAAACCTTGTTCACTCTTCTTTTCTTTATCTTACTAATATTTGTTTATATAATGTATTTAAAGTGTATTATTGTTATTTGATGTACAGTTTTCTTGAATGAATGAATGAGCAAAGGCAGGGTTTAACAGTATGTTTTGGCATTTAGTTTAATGTTATCACTTCCACTATAGAATGAAGAAACAAAATCCTGATATACACAGAAGCAGTTAAAATGAAAGTACAGCCTTTGATTAAAGCACTAAGTCTAAGACATTGAAAAAAGGTCATATTCTAATGTAATACCCTCAGTGCTTGCCACTTTGTCATGGTACAGCAATCACTAACAATGCAAAGGCAATTACAATTCTGTCCCATCCCTCAGGAGTCTGTCACCATTACCTTTTTCAATTTTAACAGTTGATTCTAAGTAGTTCACTTATTTCAACTTAAATTAGAGCAGTTTGTTTTCTGTCTGTGGTTGACAGCCTCATAATTACCAACAAAAAATAGTCTGTGATAAAGCTGACTCTTCTCCATGTAATAGTAGTGTATGTGCATTTAATTCCTACATTTTAAAATTATTCTTCCATCTCTGTAACTCATTATCGCTATGAAGGACACTTTTTTATTATTTCAACTAATAAGAAAGCTCCTCTTTGAGGCAAGTAAAGTAGCAGAAAGCCTTAATTTTTCATCATTACTGGATCATTATTATTCCTGGACATACAAACTCTATGATTCACCTCTAATGAGTCTGGCACAGACCAGGAACAGCCACACACACACAGACACACACACACACACAGACACACACACACACACACCATTGGAGCAGGGAGGGACATCGTCTCCAGACAAACACACAAAACCGAGAGTGGCAGATGGGATGATTTAATAGTTTTCCCTCTTGATTGATTTGTTGACTAAGGCATGAGCCATTATTTGTATTGATTTGGTGCCACACATAATGGCCTAAAATCTAGCGGGAATAATATCTCCAGGCAAATTTTAAGGATATGTGTTTTGCACAGAAAAACGTGTAAATTATATAAAAACAAAAAGCCTAGTTGAAAGTAGAAAATGTAACATTTACACCAGATCTGTTCCAAGTCAGTTAAAGAAAATTCTACAATGGGATGCTGACACCGTCTGGTCATCATGAAAGTTAAGAAAGTTGGCTTTTAAACACGCACAGAGAGAGACACACACGCCGATGTGGAATGCCACATTTGCCTCAGCTGTCACTAGAGATAAAAAAGACTTGCCTGCTGTCCCATTCTCTTCCACTGTGCACACTCCTTACATGGAAATGGACATTTGATGGTTGCCTGGGTTTTGTAGGAAGGCAAGCACAGTCCTCTTATAAAGGCTTAGGTGTGAGGTCTGACTAGCAGTTCCTCCATCTACTACCTTTATATCAACTCAGCACCCAGCCTCTTTTTTTTATCTTTTGATATCACAACAATCATTTCTGCCTTCATGTTAATTAATTAATTAATTATGGTAATTAAGATAGACATACCAGTAAAATAAAATAAATGGAGGCCAATAACATTCCTGCTTATAGTTTTTGTTATTTTATCTTTTAGGCTTCTAGGAATTTTCTGGAAGTGTGCCAGAATAGGTAAGCCTGTGATTGCCCTATATTTTCTTTTACATAAAGTAGTATTTATTCTCTTAATATCAATGAAATACTGCCTAATGATGTAGCCTTGAACTTAACATTATTTCTTTTCTCCAGGTGAGCGGAAGAGCCCCTGGGTGGCCTGTTGCTGTGTCATCATGGCTTTTAGTATACTGTTTCTACAGTAGCAGTCCAAAGAAAACCACAAATGGAAACATTGGGGAAATGAACAGACAGAAGACATGGACAATACGATCCTAGAAGCACAACAGGACCTCCAGTGGTTGTCACTTAGATAATGTAAAAACGGAGACCCGTCACCACTCACCGTAGCCATGCAGAGAGAAAATATGTCTGTGTAGGAGGAAGGGTGAGCTGATAGCCCCAGAGTGTGTCTTGATCCCTCCACAGACTTCCAGGTCTGTCCTTGTGTTTGCTTATGTGGAACATTTTCTCTGGATGTGCGCGCGTGCTTGTGTGTGTGTGTGTGTGTGTGTGTGTGTGTGTGTGTGTGTGTGTGTGTGTGTGTGTGTGTGTGTGTGTGTGTGTGTGTGTGTGTGTGTGTGTGTGTTGGGGCGGCAGTGCTTTCTCTTACCTGCCATTTAGCGTAACGGAAAAAAAAAACAATGTGCGACCAAGTGATGCATTGTTTGTCCAAACATTTCAAACAGATTTTTTTTTTTGCTTTGGGTTTGACACAATTGCATCAACCTGTTTGAAATTAGCCACAATACTCTCCCTACATAAATGTTCATAACTGTTAAGCGATTCACAAGGAAACTTTTGTTTGTTGTATCTAAACATGGAGATCATATTCCACAACAAACAAAATGGTATTATTGCTCTTCAGATGTCAAATTGTCCTACATATTTGTCACAGAGAGCTACTGATGTTTTTAAAGTCAGTCAGTTTGTCGCTATTTATTAAAGAACCTTTTTGGAAATCTGGTTTGAGAAGGCTGATTTTTTTTTTTTTTTTTTTTTTTTTTTTTTTTGTCATTTAAATTCAACCACTTTGATGAGTGTTTGCTGTTGACATCTGCTTATGTCTTGTAACAATGCCACACTGTAAGGTCAGGTATCATTTAATGACTGCAAACATGTGAAAATATACATGTTGATGACAACCTGTAAATCTTTTGTCAATCTTCTCTCTGTAAGAACTCAGATTACACATACCTTACATGTAAGAATGAAGCAGCTGCACAGTTAGAGTTTATTGAGTAGTTTTTGTGTTAAGAGGGAACTATGACTTAGAGTTGCTGCACTAGAGCACTGATGTGAAGTGCATTTGAAGTCTAGCGCTCGGGATTCTGCTCGGAGTGAGATGGACAGTGAAGAGTTTGTGATAACCTCTTCTGTAACCTTGCAGTCAACACTCATCTCCACAGGGTTTACTGCAAAGAGCTGTCATCTGATTGTACCACACAACATGACATTGCCAGATATCTGTCTAGTATTTATTTCCAGATATTGGGCAGTGAGCTGAATTAGAACAGAAAGCAGA